TCCCAGTAAGGCGTAGATTTCCCAAGGAGATGGTCATCTTCTAAATCGGCAGATGCATGGCCGTGGAGAAGGGAAAAATAGGGCAATTTGTGTTTTTATGGCTGCCAGACAGGCTGGTATCGCCGATGTGCCCCCCTTTGACAACTGGTCCTGCACAGTCACAACAGATGTTGACATTTTGCTATTGTCCCAGAATTAAATGTCAGGTTATTCCCATTCAAATCTAGAAGTGAACATCGGGGATTCCATCTGCAGCAGTGCATACAGCTGCCTGCAAAGCCAGCATTCCCAGGCAGGTTTTTTGATAGTAGGTTCATGTGTGTGCTAGTGAGCGGTCTGGGTTAATTAATTTCCCCTCCAGACATTATAACCTGTGCAAGTAGGGCAGCTGGAGGGGGAGGCTTGCTGGAGAGCCTGAGAATGAACATCATCGAGTAATAAGGAATAATTTGAGGTGGTTGTGTTATTATTGTTAGATTTAGTGGTGGCGTTGTTTATTTTAATGTTTTTTTTCCCCCTCACACTGTGAGCTTATGTTACACAGTGAAAAGCGATTGGTTTTCTCAAAAGATTGCTGATTTTCTTTCCAAATAGCTAAATTTGGGTTTTATGGGATTGCTTTTTCATTTGTGCAAAATCCTGTGCTCAGGCGGTTAGGCCAATCTCATCACACAAGACTATTAAATGAACTAATTGGATGTGTGTTACTTGTGCATTTCTATCAGGAGTGTCTAATAAGTGTAGAAATCCATGCAGGGGTGAAAGCTGCATCATCTTCTTGGGATGTTGGTGATTTGGGGTGTTTCAGCTTAAGCAGAGGGAGTGGGAATTGGCCGTGTCCCATTGCCAAAGCCTTTTTGTGAGGGATGAACCAGAGCATCTCCAGAACTGTGGGAAGTCAGCAAGCGATGCAGCATCTCTGCAGTGTTAAACGACCATGGATCCCCTGCAAGATGCAAGGACGTCTCTTGCATGTTCCATTTGGGCTGTCAACGCGTGGGTGTGAGGGTGACCCCAGCTCTGCAATTGCCATTGCTCTTCAGTGCACTCGACAGATGGATCTCCCTACAAAGCAGAGACAAACCGTGACCCTCACTTTGCTAATGGAGGTGTGTGGGAGCACGGGGAGGAAGGAGATCCACCAAACTCAGCAGGATGTGCACTGCTGCCTTGGGAGAAAGTGCTATGAGAGAAAGGGGACACAGGGAGGGAAACTCGTTTGGCTTTGACTTCGTATTACTTAAATTATTCACTTTCCCCTGAAACAGCCCATTGAATGATACGTTTACTTCTAAATGCTTGCACTTAGTCTGAGGTTAAAATGAAGCCCTGAAGTGCCGTGTATGCTGGGTTTCCTCTGGAGATGCACACTGGGCCGCTCCAGGTCCCAGTGAGGCTGGTTTAACATCCCCAAAGCACCACAACAACCACACAGGGCTCACTTTTTGGTTTCTCCAAGCCCCCCAGAGTTGTTTGCCAACAGCTTCATTCCTTCTTCATTAAAGTGGCGTTTTGACTCATTGCTTTAATCCCTGAGTTTACATGAAAGTTTGATGTGCCCTACACCAGAGCTGCGCGACAGAGGAGTGGTGATGATCTCTTCATTTCCCATTGAAGGGGAAATTTTCCCCACACAAGGGGAGATTTTTACACTTGAGAACTTCTCTCAGAGACACCCAGGGCCCAGGTGTGAGTCTGAGCCTTCTGGGAAGGGCTGGGGGGGGGTTGGGGGTTGGGAGAAACTCAGCAGAAGCTTTGGCAGAGCCTCATTACCACGCAGCTGGGGACAGCCTCTGCATGAGCCTGGCAGAGCTGTGCCTCTAATATATCTCTTCACAGACTTTTTGCATGTAATATAGAGCATTAAAATAATTTAATAAAGCATAAATCAGGTTTTACTGCGGTGCCTTAGTGTAGGAAAAAAAAAAAAAAAAAAACAGAAAAAAAAAGCATTCCTGGAAAGGCACCTGCATACATCGTTGGCCTCCTTTGGAGTGGGAGCAATTTATAGATCCAATATCGCTTCTGTTGCTTCTGCTGTAAATCCCACTTGGAAGCATGTATGCTCTCCATGTTGTGCAATGGGACTTGTTGTATGGTGTCATGCAGTGGTACAACAGGACTGCTTGCTGCTCTGCCTATTGCCTCAGCCAGTGAACCCATGCTAAGGAAGCATAGCCTGACAGCTCTGGGCTGGGAATTATCAGCAGTGCCTTATTTCCATAGGGGAACATTCTGGGCTGAGCCCTTCCATGCCATTCCCAATGGCCCAATCTCCAGCTTGGGAGTTGATAAGTGAAGATACTTGGCCCCTTGCACAGCCTGTGTCTTATCCACATAAAGAGGTGTTTTGGGGAAGGTCTGGCTCTGGACAGAATTTTGTCCCCTGAAACACTCCGTGATTTCACAATGTTTCTGTCCAACAGTGGGAGAAAATTTCTAACTCTTTGTATATAGGAAACACCTCCAGTTCTGAGTGCAGTGACACTTCTGAGTGCCTATGAATGGAACTGGTATACACCACAAAAGAGTTCCAGCTCTGAAGAATCTCATTTTTGGGCAGGCAAAGTGATCAGTCTGGGCGCTGTGATGTACAGCTCTACTGGCATCCGTGTTGCCGTCAAGTGGTGCATCTTTCTGAAGGCTGCTTCTGTGTGGTTGGCTCCCAGTGAGCCCACAGAGCTGCTGCTTTTTGGGGTGAGGAAAAGGCTGATGCTTTATGGATCTAACAGCATAGACCTGTATGATGTGAGGGATACAATACCCTGCTGAGGAGGGAGGGATGTTTGCTGCCTGGCAATCCATCATCTCTCCTCGTGCCCCATGACAAATGCAGTTTTCTTTATCCCATCAGCCAACATGTGAGCATTGATACCTCAAAGAGCTTCTTTGAGGTATCAGTCCTTCTCCTCCCCCATGAATGGCTGTGGAGCCCTGACCTCGCAGCTCTGCAGGGCACAGAATGAGATGCCAAGAACCACCTGGGCAGGTTGAGCCACTCGTGCCTGCAGCCCTCCTTTCCAGCAGGGCAGGTGGCACCTCTAGCACTGCAGCCGGGCCAGGGGGAGTGCAGGAAGCATGTCGATACCCAGTGAGTGTCTGCTGGGGAGTGCAGATCCTCTCCTACGTCTCTCCTTGGCGTTTTAATTGATTCAGTGTTTTCCCAGCGGAGTGCTCCGTACGGGCGTTTGATAAAATCAGCTGCAGATGATGCTGCTGCTCATTACTTCCAGGCTCAAGGCAGGTGGATGATTAAGTGACATTTTTACTGTGTGAGCAGTTGTAACAAGGGAAATTATCCTCCTGGATGCGAGACAATGACTTGGCTCCTGCTGCACCTGCTGGCAGCAAACCCACCCAGTGACTTTGCTCTGCTCTTGGAGCAAAGCGCATTGCTCAGCTCCAGGGCAAACCCTTGGGGTTGGAAGGACGGATCCCACGGGTGTGCAGGGAGCTCTGGGCTCTCTCTGATCTCTTGCAGTGCTTTGGACTCAGGAGTGCAAAACACGATGGCATTTTGGGGTTATGGATGGGGCGAGCTTCACTCCCCATCTTCATGCAGCCACATGCGTGGGTGAACTGCTCCAAGGACTGCCACTAATGGCAGAGGGAGAACTGGGGGCAATGAGTGAAAATCTCTTACTCCGCATTAGTTCAAATTTGGAATTTGCTGCCTTTGGTTTTGGGTATGAGCCAACTGGTGGCTGCCAGAAGAGGCTGCCACAGCTTTCTGCTGTGCTTCCATGGCTTCAGCTCCCTTCTGCCATCACTCCTTGTTGATAAGAAAACATTATTTTTGCAGGGAAATGTTGTCAAGATAATGACATGCCCCTCCGTGAAGCCAGATCCAGGAAAGAACAGTAATGCTGCTCTCTAATTTGGCTCAAGATCTTCAAGTGCTCCACAGTCTGAACAGATCCCTGAATGCTGCCTGCTTGGCACTGCACATAATTCTCTGTGCTAATGGCATGCCTGACGATACCTGTGTGCTACCTGGAGCAGCAAAAGCAGCCGTGCTACAATGAAATATACACAGCAGCTTTGGAGATGAATGCAAGATACGCTCGAGTGCTTTTTAGACAACTGTTAGTTGGACCATAAACATAATATAGATTGCAACAGTGTGGAGATAGGAGGCCTTCAAATGCTGGCCTCTGTGTTTCGCATTTCAGTCTCATTGATTCCTCAAGCAACACAGTACCAGAAACCCAAACTGTTGCAGAAACATTGCAAATCCATCAGGAAGCTGCAAACTGGTGCAGCAACTCGCAGAGCCACGCAGCTCGCGTGGCCGTGTGTCATTTAAGGAACACAGAACGATGTGTGCAGTGACAGGATGGGTCACAGCGTGCTCTGCTCTGCTGGGGTGAGGCAGCGGGGAACACAGTGGCATTTTTGGGTTCCTCCAAGTTCCTGTAGATCGAGACGTTTTGCTGATGGGAACACTGCCTGCCGTGCTGCTGAGGCACATCCAACCTGCACCAAACAGCACAGCGTGCTGTCAGACAGCCCTTAAGCACCGATGCACATCACAGCTCCATCGCCTCGTCGCCATACGGCACTCGAACGAGGCGCTCCTTCCAACAAGCGCACAGCAAATCTCGGTGTTTTTCATCCCTCTGCAAAAACTCCGAGCGAAACAGAGCCGCCAGCGAGTTATCGCTGCTCGTCTGAGCCGTTTTTTACACCGGGAACCGTACAGAGGTTTTTTTCTTCGTCCCCTCCTGGTCGCTCCGCACTGCAGCAGCACCGGCTGCACACCGGGCCGTGCCGCGCAGGTGGGAGCTCCGTGCGAAGAGCCAATGGGCTCCGGGGCGGTGCCGCGCGCGGGGGAAGTTTTGCCGGTACCGGGGCGGGAGCCAATCAGCGCGGGGCGCGGCTCGGAGGAGACCAATGGGAGCGCGGCGGGGCCGCTCCCGGTACTCGGGGCCGGGCTCCGGTCCGCGCTGCCCCGCTGCCGGGCGGCGGCGCGTAGGGCAGCGCCTGGGCGCCCCGGGAGGATGTCGGGGAGCGGCGGAGCGTCGCCGCTGTTGGCGCTGTCTCTGTTGCTCCTGGCAGCCTCGGGGTTCGCCCAACCGGCGGGGGAGGCCGCCTGCCGCCCGGTCAGAACCGCTTTCCAGGTGCTGCAACCCGGAGCCAAGTGGGTGCCCGAGAACCCCGTGCCAGGTGAGGCCGCCTGGTGTTTTCGCGACCGCCGCGCGGTGGGCGGGTGGGAGACCGGGTAACGCCGTCGGGTTTCGGCTCCCGAGGTGCGCTGTCTCACCGCACTCGTGGTTCGGCCGCTCCGCAGCGAGAAGTTCGGGGGCGGCCGTGGGAGCGTTGCGGTCCCGTCGAAGGGAGCGGCTCTGCTCCTGTATAAAGGCATCGGAGCGAGAACGGATCTCCTTGCCTTCCATGGGCTTTTCTCAGCTTTTTGGGGACTGGGAAGTGCCGCTTCCCCAGGTGTGCGGAGATGGGAGGGCTGGGGGAGCTCCGCGCGCAGCTGCCCGGTGCCGCGGTGTTGCGGTTCTGCCCTGCCCGGCTTGGAGCGAAGCGAAAGTGGGGGGAGAGGAGAGCAGAGGCAGACAGACGGGCGCGGAGCTGCGGGAAGGAGCTGCTCCCAGAGCCCCGAGAGATGCTCCGTGAGCGGTGCAGCACCGCCGGCACACGGAGAGGTTCCGCTGCAGCGCACGGGGACGGGAGAAGCAGGGGGACGGGGTGGCATTTGAGCCCGCTGTGTTTGCGAGCGCCCATCCGCAATGCTTGTGGCTGTAGAGATGCTACCAGAGCTGAGAAATGAGAGCTTTCCTTCGCCCATTCCTGTCCTTACAGCCCCTTCTTACGGTTCCGGTCTCTTTCCCCGGTGCTCCGAAATCGGCATCCCTCGGTCCCTGGTAGCAGGGAGAGAGGAGCGCTGGGAACAGCTCGGGGCGAGGTGTTTGCATGGAGAGCTGCCGGGAGGGGAGGGAGCTGCCCTTATCACCATTAAAACGCTGCGTTCTGCTGTCTGTAATCAAATATTTTCCCCTGCTGCTGTGGAATGTTTGCTTTGATCCCCGGGTAATCTCAGAGCTCGTTTTTATGGGTAGTGTGCGGGGTGGGGTCCGGCTTCTGGAATGCTGTGGTTCTCTCTGGGAGCCCTCGCTGCCGGTCAGAGTTTTGGGGAGCAAGGAGTCCCCCTCCATCTTCACAACCCATGGGTCGTGCCTGCTTCCAGAGTGCTGCCAGCTTGTTGCAGTGATAAACTTTCCCTATATCAAAGTGAAAGCAGGTTTTACATTTGCTGAAGTACATAAACTTGATCATAATTAAAGCAATGACTGCTCACTGATACCTTGGGTCTGGCCCATCTTGCACGAGTCTGTGCAGTAATTACACTTCAGAGCACTCGCTTCTCCTGCAAGCAGCTGCATCAATCTCAGTAATGGGGGAACATCACTCAAGCACTATTTCCAGGCTTCTGTTTATTGCTTTATTCCTTTCATACATCTGTCAATTAAAAAAGAAGTTTTGGAGTTGCCAGTCACAAATCAGCGTGGAATCAGTTCTGAGATCCTTTGCCCACAGATCACTGAGGGCTTATGCAGTGTATTTAAAATGTGGGTTTGGTTTAGTTTTCTGACACAGAAGGAAAATCATGACTTCGAGAAGCCCTGATTTGCATCGTGAGCAGCTGAGGTGGGAGCAGAGGAAATGTTGCAGAGTTCCAGTGCATGCAGGAGAAATGCCACTGGGATGTGTTATAGGATCAGTGTGTGGGTGGGTGGGGGACGCTGGCACAGCACTCTCATAGGGCAGCCCGGTCTTGCTTCTAATTAAAATAATAAAATATAATTTAAACAACAACAACCAACAAAAAAACCTGAGCACCTCTGATAAATGCAAAGGAAGCGTCGTGCTGTTTGGTGCCAATGCAGTGGGAATAATTCCAGCTGAAGGCAGCAAGCTCTGCTCTGGCTCTGCAGCTGCTGGCCTGTGTTCTGCAGCTCAGGGCTGCGCTCTCCTCTTGGCCATTTGCATTGCTCTGTATTCTGGGTGATGCTCTGGCTGTGGAGCTGTTGCCCGTGGGCTCCCTCAGCCTGTGGCTGGGTAACTTTCCGTGCATGCTGTGTGTCCCTGCTCCAAAGCTGATGTTTTTTGGTCTGCCCCCCCGCACTCTCCTGGCTTTGGGGTCTGGGCTGGTGATTGCCCTGCGTGGGATAACTGGGGCTGCCACCAGGAACATGTCTCAGCAGAAATGCCTGTGGGTGTTTCCTCCTCCCAGTTCAGTTCCCTGCTTTTTTGGCCAGTTTCTTTGAAGGAAGCAAGTATAGATCTCCCCTGTGAAAATAGAGGTGATAAACCTTTTGCTTCTGCACTGGGATTTGATGCTGTACCACAGGCTGACCCAAAGAGTTGGGCTCTCTTCTTTTTTTCCTCTTACTAATTCTGGAAGCTGCTGTGTGCCAGGGCCCAGCTTAAGAAGCACTGATCCCAATGGTTCCCTTTAGATGCAGGGCTCCCGTTGTGCCCCCCCATTTCATTCCACTCCTCCTGATTGGGCTAATGGTCCCCTCCCCATGCAGCCTTCCCGTTCAGCTTTAACATCTTAGCTTACCAGATAATTGAGTTTTCTGTTCTTAATTATTTCAGGCCTGCAAGTTGCTCTCTTGATAGTTAAGAGCAGAGGCAGAACCCTAAAAATTTAGTAACCTCCTCAGGCAGTGCTTTTATAGTGAGATCATTATTATTTTTTTTTTTTCCAAGGGTTAATTTTAACAACATCCTGAATAGAATGTCTTTGGGATGACTGTAGGGCTTGTGCATATGACTGTAACAAATGTGTATGGTACCCGTGAATTAATTCCATATTGCTGATGGTGATGTGCTTGATGCATTTTCCTTCCAGGGGGAGGAAGCTCTCACATGGCATCACCTCTTTATTCTCTCCACAACCTCTCATTTTAAAAGAAGTGATGCTGTGGAGTGCTTACGTTGGTGTGGAGCTCATCTGGCCGTCCACAAGGCTTCAGGAAGAACCCATTTCACAGGGCTTCTGAAAGATGGAGCAGAACAATTAAGCAGAAATAAATATCTCCCTGTTGTACCCACACTGTTCCAACTGCGATCACCTATTGAATGGGGTTGGCTTATAATTTGTCTCTCTTTAATTGGGTTCTGAGCAGTCACATCTCTTTTTCTCCCCAATGCTGGGCATTAAAAACAGGTGACAGGTGCTTTATTGATCATGTCAATTAAAAGCAGAAGGCAGCAATGTTCCTATGGGTGTGTTATGGGGCAGCCCCGATGCTCCCAGCACAGAGTGTGGCGTTCACCAGGGGCTGGCTCTTATTTTGGCAATACTGGGAGGAATGTTAACTTCATGCAAGCTGTTGGATCTGGCAGGGAAGCACACAGCTTGGCTCTACCTGGTGGCAGGGCTGGAGCTGACTGAGGGCACTGAAAATCCACTTGGACTCCTTCAGCATCCCTAAGACACAGCTGCCTGCAGATCATCACTGGGCTTTTTTTTTCTTCTTCTTCTTCTTCTTCTTTTTTTTTTTTTTTTTTGACATTTAATCTGCTGAAATGATTTCCACTGCTGCTGTGCTAACCACCTATCTGCGGGAATAATTGTACATCAAAGTCAAATGTAATGCTTTAAATTCATCCCGGTACAAATCTCCTGTGTTGGAAGGAGGAGGAAGAGTCAGGGTACTCCTGAAATTGATTCTGTCAGCCAAGAGTGCTTCCGGAATCAGCAGAGCATTTACACTGCTGCTCCCCAAGATGGCATAAATGGCCCAGGTCTGGCATGGGGCACAGGGGATAAAACCTGTTGGAGTAACGTGTGGGGTCTTTTCTTTCCAAAAACGAAATTGTAATGATCTATAGCAAATGGAAGAGGTCATTTGCAAGGGCTGACAGCGGTATTAGGAGGTGTAATGGCTTGAAACTTTAAGAAAAAGGGGTGTGTGTAGGTTGGGAGATAAAAGCAATCTTATCGGCAAGGGCCATTAAGCAGAGGAATGGGCTCCGCTGTCGTGCGGCACAGCCATCATGGAGGTGTTTGGGTTGGATGCAGCACTGGAGGGGTGGGCTGCAAGGCAGGGACAGGATTTGGTGGCTCGGGGGCCCGTGGGCACTGTGCCATAGGGTTTGTGCAGCCTGCATTCCAGCAGGCTGTCCCTCATGGCTGATAGGAGCCCGTCCTGCCTGCCCTGACCTGCTGTGCCCACCGAGATGCTTCTGCTCACTGGTGTCAGTTGCCCGTCTCTGTAAAAAACGTTTTAAGCTGTCAAAGTTAATTCCCAGGCTCTCTCCTCCTCCTCCATGATTGCCCTGCTGCTGCGTGTCTGTCTTTTTACTTACTTCACGAAAATAAAAATCCATTTAAGGGGCGAAATTGGCTTAATTGCTAACAAGAAGGATGGGAGGTGAGCAGTGACCTTGGTGCTTCCCATCCCCGGCTCTCGCTTGCACAGATCTCTTAATTGCCAACTCTCTGATTTCCTATATTGGTATTTCCATTAATCATAGGAAGCTTTTTCTTTTAATTTGAAGCGTGTCCTAATATAATAAATGTAGGAGGAAATAAGCCTTGTATTAACAAGAAATTCATGGCTGTACTGTAGTGTTAAAGGGACCACGCAAAGTCTTTTTGCGGTGTAAATGGACTCAAATACCTCTTTAACTCACTGTTCTATAACCACTTCTTCATTAAGGCAGTACCTTGCTGCAAAGAGATTTGATGGGTTCTTATTTGTCCAACGTGGGAAATGCCTATCACCCCTCAACTGCTGAGCTTCACTTTTTGGCTGCCAGCGGGGCTGGCTCTTTCCTAAAGCTCTACCATGAAATCTGTGCTGTGTGCCCCATTCTGCAGAAGAGGAAACAGGCTGTGGTCAGGATGGTGTTGTGCCTCCCAGTGTGGGTCCAGAGCCTCTCTGTCCCTTTACCACACATTGCTTTGCTGCAGTATTGGTGTAAGTTCCTCTCCGTGTTGCAGACAAAAGGTTTTGCAGCTTTTTCTCCTCCTCCCCAAAAGGCTGTCCTACGGGGAAGGATGGGGTTCTGCTGCCAGCCCTGACAGCTGCTGCTTCTCTTGACACCGTGCATGACTTTTCTTCAGCAGGTACACGATTGAACTGACATTAATATTAATCCTCTTCTTCTGAAGTACACCGGAAAAGTGACTTTTGACACTTTCTACTAATTAGTCAGAGAATGTGGTAAAAGACTTAAGGAAGGAGAAAGACGCCTGGAAGGATGCATAATCCTCCTGGAGCAAAGATGAAAATTACCCAACTTGCTCAGCTCCTTTTATTAAAGCAAAACAATCTCCAGGAAGGGGAGGACAGTGAGAGCTGAGGGGCTCTGGGGGCACTCAGCCCTACGTGGGCTGTCTGTCACATAGGACAGACACCTAATGCTGTTTCTGGGGAGCTCTGTCATGCCTGGAGTGCTGCGATTGGGATGGCAGTGGCTGAGATGTGAAAGCATCCTGCTGCCTTCTGGCCCCAGGTAGCTGTGACATGGTGGTGTTTGCATGGAGATGTTGCTTACTATTGGAGTTTCTAATAGTTGCATTGAATTGGTTTTGCATGCTGAGGGCTTTTATTTTTCTCTGATATGAGCTTGTTATCCTATTTGTGTCTGCTACTGAAAATTGATTGAGAATGGAGCTTCTTATTACTGCTGCTTCCAGCTCACTGGCTTGGCTCCTTCTGTTGTCTGAACAACAAGTGATTCTCTTTCCTCTGGATTGTATTGATGATGTTTTCTAAAATATAAACAGACATTGCCTCCCACCTCCAGGCTTTTGAGAATGCCAAACCATGCAAGGTGCATCGCTGCCCAGTGCTTTGAGTGCAGCCCGGAGTGCTGGACCAAGCCATGTTCCCTCTGCTGCTGTGTCCTGGTTTTGTTCAGTGCTGGTGTTCCCATGATTGCACGCTGGCCTTTGGCAGCATTCAGTGTGCTGTAGGGGCTGTCCCTGTGCAGTGGGATAGGTGTGAGTGAAGCAGTGAGCCGTGGCTTTGCCTTTTTGTATGGAGAAAGGATTGGATGGGGAAATGGCTGAGGGGGCTCAGGAGGTGTGTATGGCTTAGAATTTTGCATTTAAAAAACCCAACCAAACGAGTGATTCTTTTGGTTTCCTATTGTTACTGCTGTTGCTGTGAATGCAAAAGGATGGAGGTTACAGACAAGTAACAATTGTCTTAACCTAGTTGTATAAGTCTAGGCAAATGATGAGCACAGCCCATGTATTGCTCTGTTCATTGTAAACCCACAGCTTAAAGCCCTGGCTCCTTCATCCACATACCCTTCCATTTCTGCCCCTCCCTGACGCTCTCTCAGCACTCAGGAGGCAGCAGGGCACTGCTCTGTGTCACTCAGCCCCATGCTCCTAGGGATGCAGTGCACGGAGCTGCAGCAATCACTGTGTTGGCATGTGAGGACAGCAAGCTCTCAGGGCTATTGCTCAGCAGTCCTTATCACTATTCTCCTTTGACTAAGCTGCTTGCTCAGGACAAATTCCAGAAACACCGTCAAACAATAACTGCAGCAATTAAAATGCATGCAGTTGGTTTCCTCTCTGCTTGCAGCAATCCCACCTCCTAACAGGAGTTCCCTGCCCTTGTCTGTCTGCAGGGTTGGACTTGCAGGTATGCATCCCCAAGGGCTCCACGTGCTGCTCGAGGAGGATGGAAGAGAAGTATCAGGTGGCGGCCCGGCAGAACATGGAGCAGCTCCTGCAGTCTGCCAGCATGGAGCTGAAGTTCCTCGTCATCCAGAACGCTGCTGTCTTCCAAGGTGAGCACTGGGGTGGTCTGGGTGATGTATTGTATTGTCTTTGAAGCAGAACTGACCTCTGACAGATATGTTCTATTCTAGGTACTTTCTAGTTTGCAATACTGAGATCTGCAGTAATTATTTAAGGGCCTTTATGCAAGCAGAACTTATTCTATTTGTGATTAATGTGCAGTGAAATGTTTGCTTGCTTGTTGAGTGCTCTCCTATGCGGGTTCCATCCTTCTACATTAACAGCATTTTTGCTTGTGTTTAAACAAAAAAACGTAATGAGCAACGAAGCATTTCCTTCTTCACAATACTTTTGTATAGTAATCAGACTTTTTTGTTCATGTATCACAAACAGCAAGATCCAAAGCCTTCTGAAGTCTGTGGGGTCATGGCAAAGCAAGGAGGAGTGGCACTCTCTGTTATACAGGTCACGGTGCTGCTTCTTGAGAGGGCTGACTCTTTTGCTGAGTTTTATTATTATTTTTACAGTGATTTCCATCCTGGCCATCGTAGCCCCTTCCCTGTGCAGGGACTGTTCTGAAAAGCCTTGGTTGGCTGCATTGCTATTCTTCTCGGTGGAGGTGGGGAAGAGCAGAATTCCTGCTAAAAGAAGGGTTGAGATTAATGATGATATATTTTACAAACCCATTGTAGAAGAGGAGTTTCTAAGTGGAAGAATTTCTAAGTGGAACCCGTGTACTTGCTTCAATTACATCATATCAAGTGTGTTGTACTTGAAAGGGGCAATTCATTGGACTTAAAATTGTGCGCTTCTCTTAGCTTCAAATTTAAAGGCTTGAAGTTTGCTGAATGCTTTTTAAAATAAAAGTGGGTGTTTTGCTGCTTGTTTGTGTTCTGACAGCTGTGCCAGAGCTTCAGGATTGGTGTGACCTCAAGAGGTGGCAGTTGGATGCTGAGCTTCTTGGTGTTGCTCATGGTATGGGGCAGGTCTCTGCTGTGGGCTGCAGGATCTGAAGCTGTGAGAGCAGTGGGGCTCAGAGCAGCACCAGCCCTCAGCAGGGAGAGTTCTCTCAGCTTCCCTGCAGGGATCCTCCTTCTCTGGGGATGAGTAATTGCACCGCTGTCTGGAGCGGGGTGATGTGTTGGTATGGAAACGTATCCCAACCGCTCCTATTAAACACAAACATAAAACCTGTCAGAGTTCATTTAAATATTTTTAGCCCGGCATCCAAGGGGACCGCTGGTCTGACAAGCAAAATCTCACCCAGATGTTATTATTTTGCACTAAATTTAATTTCTTCTTGCTGAAGCCAGAGCTACATCTCCGCTGATAAAGATCAAGGGAAATTGCCTGGCATTTACTGAAGACCTCATCCAGGCCTATCTGTTACAGTGTTCACTTAGCAAAGATTATTAGATTATTAGTTTTAGACCCTTGGGCTTTCTCGTTATTGCAGTTAGAAGGAAAGATCCCAACAAAGAACCCTTTCCTTCACAAAATGTAAATGGTACGATTAGTGCCTGGCTTCATCTTAGAGGCACTTCTTTGAGTTATGAAGATGATTTAAGTAATGATTTAATCCTTCGGAAACTTGCTGAGTTTGACGGTGTTACAATTGATTGTAGCTGCCTCCACTGCAGTTAAATCTCGCTCCAGATGTCTCTGCAGGCAGTTTCTCTTTGCTACTGTGCAGTGTAGCCATGCTGTTATCTGCCCATGGCTCAGGTTCTCAGCCCGTGGCAGCTCCAGCTGAGCTCCTCCAGTCCCAAACTTGCTCTCGTGTCTTCCTGACAGTGACGTTTAATGTTGCTCCGGGCTTCTCATCCCAACTAAGTAGAGAATCAGGGCAACTCACTTGCAAGTAGCAAGAGCCATTCCCTTTCTGTCATTACTCCCAATTCTTTTTCTTGACTTTAGATCCTGGCTTTTTACTTGGGCCCACTTCCACCTCTGCTTTTTTTTCAATTAAAATGACAAAAAAGCCTTCAACAAGCGCCACTAATTTTCTAACTATTCAATCTGTATCTGTGACTATTATGGCTTTGAGTAAGGAATACACCATGAGCTTTGTTCTTGCTCTCTTCCTCCCCACACACACTCAGCAGCTCTGCCCACAAATGGGGAGCAGTGGGCTGTGTGCATCTGTTGTCAGGTTCAGGAGTAAGAACCTGGGAAGGTTCACTTGTTGTCAGTATGCAGGATGAGAATTTGTTATGCTGTGGGTAGCAAAGTGAAAGCTATAGCAGCTGTTCAGTGTAACTTTCAAGATGCGTTCCTTCTGGTTCTTCCTTCATGGAGAAAAGTACTCCTTTAAAGAAGGTAAAGAGTGTGGCACTGTTGAGCACAGAAGGACCTCTCAGGGAAAAGGACGTCTGCACCTACAGCAGTGTGTAGGACTGATGGTGATGTCCCCATCCAGCAAGTGTGACAGCTCCCTTGGGAACCCAGTGGGAACTTGCAGGAGATACAGATATTGCAGGGGCTTTTGGGATGCTTGTCTTTGAGCAGTTCCTAGGAAGACTGCACAAGTCAATGTGGCCAAACCTGCTGGCATCTCTATGGTTGTCTCTTATTCATGGATTCTCAGTTGTCCTGACAGAGCGGTGGTGTGAGGAGGACTTCAGCTCCTCTCCCTTCTCATTCTGCAGGAGGAGAAAGGCAGAGCTGTAATTCTTGGTCCTACCAGACAGCTCTGCAGGCTGTAAATCCTCCGTTAGGCATAAATGCAGCCATTCTGGTTATTTATAGTTATTTACGCTATCCATTCATATCTGTCAGGAACGAAGGCGGTTTTGACGTTGCAAGCTTCTATCAGGTTATCTTTAATCAGTTTAGAGGCACCTAAGCCACAAATATATCAAATAGCCAATCCTAATGTCGGAGTCCTCGAACGCATGACTGAATTATTTATTTTGTTATGATGAAAATGTCTGGGCTTTATTGAGTTTTCTTTGAAGAACTTGATTCTGCTTGAAGTCTGGAAGATAAAAGATCAGCGATTGTCTCTCCAAGTTTCTTATTCTGAATCCTTCAAGGCTTTTCATTTTTCACAAGCTGCTGTTACTACTTTAGAGTCAAGGTGAGGGAACTGAGGTTTCTTTTCTTCTCTTAAAGAGGTATAAGTATATAAGAAAACCTCTTTATTTTTACTAATTATGCCTTGTGTGTGTAAATCCAGAATGCGTGCAGCATCGATTAGGCGAGAAGAGACTGGCTGTGTGGTGGAAGGTATTGCATGGTGATTGTGAAGAAGGGTCCTCTGCTAGCAGTGCTGCTGAGCAGGGCTCTTGTATCACATAGAATAGAACAATAGAATTGTTAAGATTGGAAAAGACTAAGATCACCAGCCCCAACCCATCCCCACGTCCCTCAGTGCCACGTCCCCACAGCTCTGGAGCACCTCTATGGATGGTGACTCCTGGGCAGCTGTGCCAGTGCAGCAGCACTCTTTCTGAGAAGAATTTTTTCCTAATATCCAACCTGAACCTACCCTGAATAGTTTAATATGTGTTTTAAACCTATTAAATCTAACAGTCTTTGAGGTGTTGGCTGTAGGAGGAGCATTGAATGGGCTTTTAGCATCATGCTAAATAGGGAGGGACAGCTAGGGGAACAAGCCTCTATCCTGAAACATTATCAACTTCTGATGTATAAGCAGCAGGGGGGTGCTGGGAGCTGGGAAGTCCTGGAGCTGAACCAGCCATGCACAGGGAGGGTCTGCAATGGGGACAGAATGGTGCAAGCATGCTGCAGTCATGGTGTGTGCATGGGATCTGACGTCCTACTGAGAAGAAGCATGTAGATGTGATACTTGGGGACATGGATTAGTGGGCAATATTGGTGGTAGGTGAATGGTTGATTCTGTGATTTTGTGAAGTAGGTTTGTGCCATTGGCCGGGCCTTGTGTGCTGCTTATCTAGTGCAGGAGAAAAGAGATTATGGTAAATGGAATCAATGTAAAAAGATTGTCAGTAGTAGCCCCATGTGACATGTGTGGTGGGTCAGCTTGGTGGCTTGAGGTGTGCTGTGTAATGCTGACTCTTGCTTGTGGGCCTGTAAAATGTTCCTCTGATGTTCCAGAAGGGAATGGATTCATTTTTGGGAAAGAATATTAAAATTATAATTGGACTTTACAAGTGAATAAGCATTACAAACAGATCTCTGTACCATCTGATAATTCCTATTTAGTTCTTTGCTCACTGAGACCTCCCAATGCATCCCTCTTTGCATCTCTGCAGTAACATTTCTTCTCTTTGGAAACTTCTTGCTTTATTGTGCTTTTTTTTTTTTTTAAAAAAAAAAAGATAATTATGTTCATTACTGTGTATTTAAAATAGCAATTGTCTGGCTGGGTCGTCTCAGGCCAGTTTTCTGCTGTTGGCAATAGTTCCTATGATTCCTGCCAGATGCTTTGGAAGCCCAAAGTTTGTAGTGGCAAATGATGATGATATGTTTCCCAGGCTGATACCAGAGTTATAAACTAATGATTACAGGTAGGTAGGAAGAGCTGCATAATGGGAAATCTCCAGTTGTCAGTATTGGTCTATGGAGGTAATGTTTCCTTTCAGATAACCAGAACTTACTGTTCATAAATCACAGTTAATCTGTTTACTATGGTAGTGCATGAGGCTGGGAGTCTGAAGTGTGCCATAATGCTTAGCTTTAGGAGCACAGTGGTAATAGGAACAGCCATTTCAAACGATTTGAAATTGGGGGATCAGCAAAATGCAGAAGTTGTGGAGGCTCTGGGCATTAGAAATGACTGCTGAGGATTGATGAGTTTCTTTTAACAAATTGTAAAATCCATCATGCAGGAGTTAGGGCATGAAACTGCCCTCCTGAGCCACATAAACCATGGATTTAGAAGTACTGTGTGACAGTGCATGCTGCTGGGAAGGGAGGTTTGAAAAGCTGCTTGGTGTTGCTTTTGTTTCTCCCTCCAGCTGCCTGGATTTCAGATGCCAGCATGGCACCAGTGCGTGGCTTGCAAAGGTCTGGGTGTGATGAGTGAGGGTTGCTCCCACAAGCAGCCGATGGTGCTGAGAGGGAG